GCCCAGGAGGGCTAGAAAGGAAATCTGGACACAACGCAAGAACACAACACGTTTTACATGGCTACATAAGAAAGACGTTCGGACAACCTGTGAACATCAATCTTTGTTCTGGTGCGGGTCCACCACACTTAAAATCGTTTTGTAGGAGCCGTTGCAAAAACATTCCTTTCGTGGCGGTGTTCCACACTGGGTTGGATTGTGGGGGATTTGCAATGGCTTCCACGCATCAGACCCTTCTGAAAACAGCCTGTGCACAAAGATTCGTTTTGCGGCGGCCTTCCAAAACGGCTTCAAATAAAAGGATCTGCAACGACGGCACCTGAACCCGGGAAAGCTAAAGAGGAAACTGGGGAGAACAGGAACACGCATGAGACAACTTGTGTACTCCCATGGGGAAGTGATTCCATTTGGCAGCTACATAAGGATTTTAAGTGTGGAAGCCACTGCAGACCCCCCCCCATACTTGGAATCCGATTGGCATATCGCCATTCCAGAGGAATCTGTTTGTTAAAACTGCTGCACAAGGGTTTCAGGTGTGGGGCATAAGCATTCAAATAATGACAAGTGTTTCGAACGTCTTCCTATTTATCCTCATGTGGAAACAACCGTTTTCTCATGTTTTTCTTTGTTTTTTGTTTTTTACGTCTTCTTGTCTAGCCTTCCTGGGCTCCAAGTGCCTTTGTGCAAAGTGGCCACAAGAAATCCTGTTGTAAATGATCGAGCCGCTCAGGTCACGGTAGTGATAGGATATGGGATTTAGAAAAACAGCCGCGGATTTATACAATCCATGAAATTAATAAACCAGCTTCTGCGTTTACTAAATGATGTTTTGTCTTGTTTTGACTCGGCGGCGCAATTTAATAAATCTGTTTCTCGCTTCAGTGAATCATCGCTTTCGCAAACAATTGTTTTAATAATGTGCGTTCATTCGTTACCATGACCTATGTTCGCCGGTGAGAGAAAGCTGCTGCGCAAGGAGGGTCGACGTCCATGTTCTGGGCTCGAGGTGCCGCCGCCGCCGGCCCCCCCGCAGCTGATGCCCTTCTTGCAGCGCCGCCCACAAGGGCATCCCTTGGTACGAACGGCAACAACAGGTTTCTAAATGCGGAGGCCAGGGCTGGAGTTAAACAGTGTTTTTCGTTTCTCGTTTGTTTTCGTTTTCCCTCGTTTTGTCTTGAAATCGCCATTGCTGCAAAACGATATCGAAACGAAAACGGGCTGTTTGTCTGTTTGTCTGTCTTTTACATGTTTCCTCGTTCGCTTTTCAGAAAAGCGAACGAGGAAACGGCGGCATCCCTTGAGCCCAGAAATTCTGGGCTCAAGGGATGCCGCCGCTGCAGTCCCCCCACAATTGAAAACCTTTTTTGTAAGGCCGCCGAAAAATCCTTCAGTACAGGCTGCTACACAAGGGATTTCATTGTAGAGAAACCGCTGTCGGTCTCTCCTGGAATTCGTTACACCGCCACAACGAAGGGATCCTGTTGGAAATGCTGCTGCAACAACAGGGTTCTAAATGTGGCGGGTTGGCGGCATCACAATAGCGACGGTCGCAGGTTGCTCTAACTTTTTCGCAACTTCCCATGTTGAAGCAACAGCTTATCATGAGATTTGTGTTTTTGTAGTTTTTCCAATGTTTTCCTTTCTAGCCTTCCTGGGCTCAAGGCGCAGCCGCTGCAATTCCCCTGCATGTGAACACTTTTTTTGTCAGGCCGCCACAACAATAAATCCCTCTGCGCAGGCTGCTACAAAACTATATCCAATGTGGGGGCCACGGCAAGCCCCCACAATGATTTCTTTTGCAGGATCACCACGGCAGGCATTATTTTTGTGAAGGCATTGCGAAAGGACTTACGCTGTGGAGGCCGCTGCGCACCGCCACTGTTAAATCATTTGCAAGGTCGCAACAATTGGGTATGTTTTTTTGCAGGCGGCTGCCCCCAACCAATTATGTTACTGCAAGTCTGCCTGAACGTGCGTTTGCATGGCCGCCACAACATACTGTATTAAACACGGCCGTCGCGTGATGAGTATTGTTACGGTTGCGATGGTGGTGCCGATGGTAGTGATGCTTGGTGGTTGGAAAGGTCCGTGTTGTAATCGTACAGACAAAAGGTCGCACGGGGGCGAAATCGGTCCTAACATTATGAGCGCATCTGCGCTTTTGACTTTTGTTCGCAATGAGCTGTCAACGCCACTGCTCGCGCAATCGCGCCATCCGCCCACCCGCAACATGGTTGGCACATCCCATGCGGCAGCGATTGCGGCGAGTGTTTGGTGCTTGCTGGTGCATCTCTGCTGCCGCGCTGGCGCCGCGCTCGCGCGCGCAGCGGCTGGCGTGTTTGGCGAGGCCGACGCGGCCGCGGTGTCGCTGACCGCTGGCCACTTCCAACGCGTCCCGCATGCCGCGCTGACGCGCGGGCGCTGCACTGCGACTCGGTGACTTGAGCGAAAGCCCTATCATGGCGACGTCGGCTACGGTAGGCGCGATGCTGATCGTAGCGAGGATGGTGGCGATAATGGCGACGGCCACGGCAAAGCAAATGGCGGCGCCGATGCGGATCGGTGACGATGATGGTGTCCCCGCGTCGGCGATGAAGGTTTTGGAAGGATTTCGGCATGCGCACGGCCGACGCGCGCGCGAGTGGCCCGCAGATTACATCTGACAGGGATCGTCCCCCCTCCCAGCGCGCGCAAGGGCGCTCGATTGATTTCGGCATGCGCGCGCGAGAGGCCCGTTTGGTCAAATTTCATGAAAAGATGGGGCAACCGATGGCTTGTCCCAAGATTTCGTCAAAGCGGGTGGGCAAACGTGCGTTCAAACATCGGCGCTGCAAAACCATGAAATTCATTTTTGTTCGGGGCGCCCGATGCTGACACCCAAGCGAAACCTTATGTTCTTCGGCCACAGATCCCGGCACGGGCGCCAGATTACGCGAGCGCGTACACTTCGTCCCTTATGCTGCAAGGGCTTATGCGACAACGCGGTCGGTAGGGCGATTTGGCGATTCCAACATGCGCGCGGGCGCACCTCTGGTATTATTTGATGAGCAAGCTGTAGATCCGATGGCTTCTGAAAATTCGCTAGAGCTCTAGCGCACTGCTTTTTGGTTTGAACATTTCTGTTGCGAGATTGGTGTTTTTCGCGTGTTCGGGGGGCTGGGTGTTGAAATCCTTCCGTATACGGGCGTTGCTGTTGTCGTTGTTGCTGTTTTGTGTTTTTGTTGGTTTTCGTCTTTGCTTCTTATTGTCGATTCTCTACTATCTCAAGAATTCGGCATGCGCAGCGCGCGCGACGATTCGCGCGTGCGCAGGTCGTTCCATTTGTTGCAAGGGACTCCTGAGCATGTATGATTCGAGCTAAAAGGGGCGCGCTTGCATAGTATTTCTTGCGAAGGATGAAGGGGGGGGGCGAAAGGGAACTGCCTGGGGTGGTATGACTTCAAATTCAAGATGATCGATGGGGCAACATCGCACGCACATTGCAATTCAAAGAGCCGGCGCATTAGGTCAGCAAGGGGGGTGGTAGATCCTAACATAGTTCTAGGAGGGAGATTCTACACGGTGCAACCGATACTGTGCAATACAATATTTGCTCGCGGTGAGTTTTCAACCCCACTGCCCGCGCATTCGTCCCACCCACGCACCCGCAACTTGGCTTGCAAAACCTTGCAGGGCGATTGCGCTGACTGCCTGGTGTTGGCTGGCAAATCGCTGCGGCCGCGGTGGCCCTCGCCGCTGGGGGCTCCCCAACACGTCTAGCAGTCAGAGCCGGCGCGCGGACGCATCGGTCCGACTCGGTGGCTCGGGCGGATGCGGTATCATGGAGACGTCGACAATGGCAGACACGATGATGATGGCAACGATGTTGGTGACGATGATGACAAAGACGGCGGCAAAGGCAATGACGGTACCGATGCTGAAAATGACGATGGCGATGATGGTGTCCACGCGTCGGGGATGAAGGTGTTGGAATGCTTTTGACATGCGCGCGCGGCCGGCGCGCGCGAGTGGCCTTCATGATATTATCTACCAGGGGTCGTTGCCCCCTCCAGCACGCGCGTAAGGGCATTCGAATGATCTCGACATGCGCGCGCGAGAGGCCCGTTTGGTCGAATGTGATCAAACCTTGTAAAACCTATGGCTTTCATGGAAATTCGGAACAGCGCGTACACTTGTTGCTTAAATGAGGTACGTTGCAAAACACAACGTTTATATTATGTTCGGGACATTCAGTTTTGATATCCATACGAAGACGTAAGTTTTTGAAGCGTGCGCGTGCGCACTTCGTCCCATTTGCTGCGAGGAATTATTGGGAACTGACAATTTGTGGTAAACGACTGTGTGCGCAAAGTCTAATGTGGCACCCAGCGAGGACGGGAGGGACGTCGGTAATCGGACTGCCAGGGATGCTACGAAATCATATTTCAAATCGTCGAATGTGAATAAACATATACGACACAAACTGCGAAAACATTGTGACCCGTTAGCCCCATGGGGGGATGGTAGAGCTTCATTCCTTTTACAAGGAAATTCTGGGCGGTGACGGGGCGGCGACGAGGCGGCGACGGGGCGGCGACGGCGGCAACATAGCAGCCAAACCGGCAGACTGGCCCAAACAGCGGGCGGCGAGGAGTCGGCGACGGGCGACGGTGGCCACCAGCAGACAGGCCCAGGAGGCGGTGGGCGACGAGGTGGCTACGGGGGCCACATCGCCACCGAACTCTGGCAGACAGGCCTGGTTTCTTAGAGCAAAGGTACACATCCCCAAAAAAGACTCCCGAAAGACAAACAAGACCGTAAACATAAACTTCCAGGAGTTCGCGCGGATTTCTTGGATCGGCGTTGGACCTCCTTTCTTTGCGCGCGAAGCGCGCCCGGGGTGCCGCAGGATATGCCGCAAGAGGGCCCGGCGCCGATCCAGGAAATCCGCGCGGAACTTCGAAAGCTTATATCTATGCAGTTTCTCTTCTTCGATTTCTCCGACGTTTCCTCGTCAAGACCATGCGCCCGAGTTTCGTGTTCTGCCGGCGGAACAGCGCCATCAAGTGCGGCACCAGCCGGGCCGCCCGCGCCATCCTGGACACCCGGATCAACCGGACGGCCCGGGACGAACGGGCCAGGCGCGAGACGCGGGTGCTCCGCTCGTTGAAGATGCTGTTCTCCACGCCGAGAACCCGCAGCACCTGTTCCAGAACCTTCGGTGGCAACCCAGGGGAGCCTGTCATGCCATCTTGCTCGCGCTTGCGAATCGATGCCGTCCGACGCTAAGCAACACCAGTCGACGCTGAGTCGTTGCTAGTGGACGCTGAAGCGGCGCTGTCTCGTCGATGGCCAGACACTAATGCAGTCGAAAAGCGGAGCTGCGATGGCATACGAAGCTCCCGTAATTTGCTACCGAACAGAACCCACGTGTCCTGAAGCATGCTGACGAGGCAGATGATGTCGAAATAGAAAGGAAGCGTGCGGTAGCACCGCGGATTCCCAACCACGAGGGCCACGAATTCGATCGCAAATCCGGCGACCCCCGTTGGGGGCGCAAAAGGCAATGAAACTCTGCTTGGGGGTCTGCTGGTCCATCGTGTATTACAGTCCTATCTCTTTTCTAGTACCTACCAGGAGCGCCCTACCCTTCATTAGCAAAACGCCTGTCAGTGTCTCTAGGCCACTTGGCCACTCTAGATCTCCGATCGGATCTATAATGGTATCCAACATGGGCCCCAAACGGCGTGTTGCTAGCAACATACGTTGTGCAATATGTGCGGTGCAGTGTGTGTTGTGCACTCTGTGGTGCAATCTATATATTGTGCAACCTATAGTGTGCAGTGAAATTGTGAGACATACGAGGCACAAGCCATGTTTTGCAATGTGCGTGGCGCAACATCCGCTGGCCCCCTTGTGGGGCCACCAGGCTGTAGGCCGAAGGTTCTTAGTTTCCTGTACCAGTCGCAGCTTCCAGTTTCCATTGTCACAGTTCTGCTTCTTGCTGCTGACTGTTCCTGGCTGATGGACCGCGCGAGGGGGGGAGGCCCAAAACGGGCATTTTTACAACGCCCTGAGCGTATGCTCTGAATTGCTGGGGCGGGTAAAAATTGACACCCCTCACGCAGATCGGCGGGGTCAAGGTCCAAAAACACAGGGGATTTGCCACATGTCTTAAATCCGGTGGCACCCCTCACGCAGATCGGCAGGGTCAAGGTCAAAACGCAAGGGATTTGCCACATTTCTACAATTCGGCGGCACCCCTCACGCAGATCGGCAGGGTCAGAAAACACAAGAGATTTGGAACATTTCTGAAATTCGGCGGCACCCCTCGTGCAGATCCGTAGGGTCAGGGTGCGAACGCACAAGGGATTTGCAGCATTTCTGAAATTCGGCCAATCAGGGTCGAATTACTCCGACGGAAGGACCCCACATGAGAATCTCTTTAGCTTGCATGGGGGTATCCTCCTGCCCCTTCCCTTCTCCCACATACTCTTGCCTCCTCGTTCTCCTCCTGTCTGCTCCTCCTCCTGCCTCAACCCCTGCCTCTTCCTCCTCTTCTTGCCTCCTCCACCTCCTCCCCCTCCCCCTCGTTATGCTTCCTCCCCCCCATTCCCCCTGCCCCGCCTGCCTCCTGCCTCCTCATTCTGCCCTCCCTCTCCCTTCTCCTCCTCCTCCTCCTCCTCCTCCTCCTCCTCCTCATCATCCCCTGTCCTCCTCCTCTCCCTCGCCCTCATCCGCTTCCTCCTCCTCCTCCTCCTCCTCCTCCTCCTCCTCCTCCTCGTTTCCATATTCCTCCCCCCTCCTCCCCCCCCTCCTCCTCCTCCTCCTCCTCCTCCTCCTCCTCCTCCTCCTCCTCCTGCCTCCTCCTTAGGCCTCCTGCCCCCTCCTGGGGCCTCCTGGGGCCTCTTGGGGCCTCCTGGAGCCTTCTGGGCCTTCCGGGACCTACTGGGGCCTCCTCGGGCATTCCTCCTCCTCCTTTTCCTCCTCGTCCTTCCTCCTCTCAGCCTCTTCCTTTTCCTGCTTTCCTGTCTCGTCCTGCATCATCCCTCCTCCTTTTCCTGGCAATCCTCCTCCTCCTCGTCCTCGTGCGGAACACGACCCAGAGGAAGCGCACGACGTGCGTCCCAGCCGATACGCGCCGGAGGACGACCCAGAGGAAACGCGCGCCGGAGGATGACCCGGAGGAACCACGTGAGCTGCGGGACCCATAGGAAGGCTCCCGCCTGACGCGTCCTCACAATTCACTCACAGACGAGGGTCCCGCTTGATACTTCTTCCAAATTCAGACCTGAGGAGCCCAAAAGTGACGACAGTTACAGGAATCCGATGACCCGCTCGGATTAGTAACATGATCTGCGGGCCCCATAGGGAGGGGGCTCCCGCCTGAGACTTGCTCGCAATTCACTGACAAACGAGGCTCCCGCCTGATACTTCCTCCAAATTCAGACCTGAGGAGCCCAAAAATGACGACAGTTACAGGAATCCGATGGCCCGCTCGGATTACCAACATGATCTGCGGGCCCCATAGGGAGGGGGCTCCCGCCTGAGACTTGCTCGCAATTCACTCAGAGACGAGGCTCCCGCCTGAGAATTCCTCCAAATTCAGGCTTGACGAGCCCAAGAGTGACGACAGTTACAAGTTTCCGATGACCCGCTCGGATTACCAACATGATCTGCGGGCCCCATCGGGAGGGGGTTCCCGCCTGAGCCTTCCTCAGAATTCACTCACAGACGAGGCTCCCGCCTGAGACTTCCTCCGAATTCAGGCTTGAGGAGCCCAAAAGGGACGACAGTTACAGGTTTCCGATGACCCGCTCGGATTACCAACATGATTTGCGGGCCCCATAGGGAGGGAGCTCCCGCCTGAGACTTCCTCCCAAGTCACTCACAGACGAGGCTCCCGCCTGAGACTTCCTCCATTTTCAGGCTTGACGAACCCAAAAGTGACGACAATTACAGGTTTCCGATGACCCGCTCGGATTACCAACATGATTTGCGGGCCCCATAGGGAGGGGGTTCCCGCCTGAGACTTCCTCACAATTTACTCAACGATGATGAGGATGAGGATGATGAGTGGTGGTGAAGATGAGTGGTGAAGAGGATGATGATTGATTGTGAGTGGTGGTGGCGATGATGATGTTAGAATGAGGATGATGCCGATGCCGATGATGATGATGATGATGCTGTTCGTGAGCGTGTGAGAGAGTGCGAGTGATGATGATGATGAGTATGTGAGTGACTAAGCATGTGAGAGAGCATCATCGATGATGCTGATGAGGTTGATGATGAGAGAGTGTGAGTGAGTGTGAGTGTGTGTGTGTGTGTGTGTTCCCGTCCTGTTCCTGCGCGGGGTGTGCAGAGAAAACAAGAACCCCACTTTGGATGTGGGGAAAAACAAACAGGTTCCGACACTGCTTCACAGCGGCGCCCAGACCTCATGATTTAGCTTTTGCATCTCCCATTATCCGAGACAGGGGGCCGGCGGCATGGGGCGAAGTCCTTACGGATATAGGTGCAATGTACGTCGTGCAATCTACGTTGGGCAATGTGTGGTGTGCACTCTATGTTGCGCACTCTACGTGGCGGGGCCTGTATGGTGCAATATATGTGGAGCAATTCACATGTTTCAAGACAACATATACAATACGTGGCCAAAATTATGTTGTGCACTCTGTGTTGTGAAATGCAAATTGTGCACTCCGTGCTGTGCAATCCATGTGGGTCAGTCTATGTGGTGCGATGGACTTTTTACAAGTAGGTTGTCAAATTCTATGTTTTTGCAAACATCCCGTCCATCCACCCGCAACTTGGCCTGCAAAACCCATGCGGAGGCGATTTCGATGAGTGCTTTGCAATGGCTGGTGCATCTCTGCGGCCGCGCTAGCCCGCGCGTGCTCGCGCGCACAGCGGCCAGCAAATTTGGCGCGACCGACGCGGCCGCGGAGGGGCTGTTATCTTCTCAGCGGGCACTTCAGTGCGATTCCGTGACTTGGGCGGGCGCGGTATCATGGCGACGCCGACAACGGTAGACACGATGACAACGGAAAGGCCAATAACGGCGCCGAGGTTGATCACGTCCGCCTATAGCGATGACGATGTCCTCGCGTCGGCGATGAAGGTTGTAGGAAGAATTGGACATGCGCGCGCGGCCGACGCGTGCGAGTAGCCCACGCGTTTTTCCTTGACACGGATGGCGCCCTCCCCAGCAGGCGCGCAAGGGCGTTCGAATGAGTTAAACATGCGGCGCGGGAGGCTCGTTTGGCAGAATTTGATGAACATGTTTGAACACCCGCTGGGTTCTGAATCCGTGAGAACGCGGGCGCAGATTGCTTGAAAACTAATGTTGCAAACCAGTGGTTATCATATGCTTTCGCGACAGTCGATTTTGAAATCGTTGCGCAATCGAATCTGCCTCTGTGTGTTCAGGATTTCGGCATGCGCGCGCGGCGACGCGCGCGTGTGCACTTCGTCCCGTTTCTTGCAAAAAGGGGTTCTTGCGACAGCACGGGCGCGGGGGCGTTTGCACGATTTCGACACGCGCGCACGAGAGGCCAATTGGGAAGCATGGTATGCAAATGTTATAAACAAATCAATGGTGTCCTAAGAATTCGCAAGAGCGCGGGCGCATGATTTGAGAACTACTGTTGCGCCACATTATTGTTTATATGTGCTCGTGACACTCGGTGTTGCAACCCAGACGCAACCAGCTGTCTGTTTCAAGGATTTCGGCGTACGCGCGCGACGACGCGCGCGTGCACGTCGTCTGATTTGTTGACACGGATTCTGGAAACCGCTGATGACTTCTGATGAGCGAGAGAGCGCGCATACTATTTGATGCAAGGATGGTGTAGGGGGGGGGTCGACACTGGCCTGGCTAGGCTGGTATGAGTTCAATTCACCCGTAAAGTAGACGAGGGGTCAGTATCACATAGGAACTCACAGGCGAAACCAACAACCGATAAGTCCTGTGGGGCATGTGGGTATAATCCAATCTCTTTCGGGAAAGGAGAATCCATGTGGCGCAGTGTACCTGGTGCAGTGTACGTTGTTCAATCTACGATGTGCACTGTCTGTTCTTGAGCCTATGATGTGCTGTACCTGTGGTTCAAATCTGTGTGGGGCGGCGCCAGGGCGACGGCGGCAACAACCGCGACTGCCACAGACAGGCCCATACTTCGGGTGGCGACGACGCGGCGACGGCGGCCACATAGCCGCCAGACCGAAGACATGGCCCAGACGACGGGCGGCGACGAAGTGGCGACGGGGCGGCGACGGCGGCCACAGCCGCAAGACCGAAGACACAGACCAGTTCCTGATAGCTGGAATAGGACCCCCTGAGTGCAAGCACTGCTTGGGGAATTGTGCGGCCGCCATCAGGCAACCAAGTCAGCCTCCAGGATGGCTCCACAGAGGCCCTGAAGAGGGCGTCAAAGCCAAAGGCGGCCTCAGAAGATGGCAGCAGGCACTAAACAGCCAAGCAATGTTCAATGTATTCTGGCTGCTCCGTCCTTTGCCCCCCACGATGTGCCAAGTTCACTTCAAGACGGCCCCCAAGAGAGAAAGGGGCTGCCCAATACGGCCTCAAGGTGATTCCAGCTGCCACCTGATGCTGCCAAGACGCTCCAAATGACTCGGAGAGGGGCCAGGCTGGCTCCAAGGATCCCCCGCGTGGTCCCCGGAGGCTGGCCTCCAGGCTTCCCGAGGTGGCCCGAAGGAGGTCCCAAGATGCCCCCGCGGGACTCCAAGACTGTCTCAAGACTGCTCCGCCGTAGCCATCATACAGTCGGGGCCTTGACCCAAGGAACCCAAAATAAGGAACGAGGCCCCATTTTTTCAATAAGTTAAACTTCGATTTCCGATAGAAGATGTAAGGGAAACCTGAGGCAAGCTGCGAAACACTTAAGGAGCGCGGAGCCCCTCCCCAACGAAAAGGGTTCCTTCTTCAGGGCCCCGACTGTACGGCTCAGCCCGAGGGGCCAGCGGTAGAGGGCGCAGCACTCCAGATAACAAGAATACTATAGAGTTGACGACAGAAAAAGGAGCAGTCAGCGACTTGTGACCAACGAGGTCCACCAAGTCGGGGCCGAGCAGAGCATAAATTGTCAGCGACAGGTAGAACATTGACACCCAACTGTTTTTCTGCAGCCTCCTGGCGGCCGCCCTCGCCTGGCTGCAACGCGTACAGAACCGCGCGGTGCCTGCCATCACCAAACTATAGCGGGACTCCAAGGAGTCCCTGGCAGAGTCCCTGGCGATCTCGCCGTCCTCGCTGCTCGCCCCCGCAAGGTCTGGGAAGACCTGGCCTATGATCTTCATGAGCTCCTGAAGGGCAACGACAGGGGGGGACATATTCAGGGGGGTAAACGTCGAGGTGGAAATCCTGGAGCGTGCGGATTCGCTGTCGTTGAGCAGGGGCCGACCGTCCAGACAATCTTAGAGGCATACCACGACATTTTCTTAGAACCCCAACATGGTCTAACAAAACAGTGTTCTTAGAACATTGATCCGATGTGTGAAAACAAAACAGCCCCATCTTCGTACAGACCACCAACAATTCTTAGAACATTCTTTGGTGGGCCTATAGGCGAGCTGGGACGTTTCGACACTGCTTGATATCGGGGGCCTGTCGCCGATCTATCGGCGATATACCACCGCTTCCAGCTCAGTGATCCCCCCATTGGGCTATCCCGCAATCCCCCCCTTTCGTTGCCCCTGGGCTCCATGTGCTGCCGCTGCACCATGCCGGCGGTCGTTGTCGGCTTGAAGAGATGCCGGACATTCGAAGGGCTCGGCGGCAAGCAGTGGGACGATCCGCCACCGTGCCGCAGGCACTGAGCTGAGTCTCCTCGGATCTCCCAGAACCCCGACCCGGGCCCCCTAGATGCAGGCCCCGGGCCCCCAGCTCACGGGCCGCCTCGCGCGCTCGCGGTCGCTCTTGGCAGAAGACTTCGGTGCGCGCACCGAGACAGCTCCTCCCGAGTAGTCCGGCTTGCCTCAACGGGCCCCCCGAGTAGCGGTCGCAACTGAAGGGGCCCTGGGACACACAAATAAATACACACACAAAAATAACAGGATCCCTCCAATGTTTTCCATGTTTTCTGGGTTCTCGTCTTCGCCCCCCCACTTCCCATATTCTCCCATATCTTCTGGGAAATCGCCGATTCACTGTGTCTGTGTGTTTCTTCCCCCCCTGAGAGTTGTGGTCGCAACGCCCGAACTCCTCCCGACGCAGACAGCTCCTCCCGAGTAGTCCGGCTCGCCTCAACAGGCCCCCCGAGTTGCGTGAGGAGGACACAGGGGGTCCTGCCCCAAGAGGAGGAGGAGGAAGGGAGGAGGAGGAGGAGGAGGAGGGGGAGGAGGAGGAGGAGAAGCAGGAGGAGGAGGAGGAGGAGGAGGAGGAGGAGGAGGAGGAGGAGGAGGAGGAGGAGGAGGAGGGAGGAGGAAGGGAGGAGGAGAAGAGGGAGGAGGAGGACGTGTCTGCAGAGTCTGGCACCGCCTCCACGCCCCGCGGCGCCCCGGGGGGCGCACCACGCCCCAGGGCGTTGGGGGCGCCGAGGCCGCCCGGGGCTGCTCGGGAGGGGCCCGTGGAGGCCTGCAGCCGAGCTGCCGCCAGGATCGGAACCCCTGAGCAAGGAACGAGGCCCCTTCGTGTTCCACAAGCTGGACTTCGATGGCCCATGGAGAGCAACCGAAGGAAGACCCAGAGCAAAACACAGCACAACGAGGGGACACCGAGCCCCTCCCTTGAGGGGGCCCTGGAACACACAAACAAACACACACACACAGATAGAATGATCCCCCATACTTTCCCATCTTTTCGGTTTTTTGCCTTCCCCCCCACTTTCCATATTTTCCCATCTTTTCCTGGGAGTCGACGATTAATTGTGTCTGTGTGTTTGTTTCCCTCCTGATAAACGAGGAACGAGGCCCTTTTTTTCACAGGCTGAGCTTCGATGGCCCATGGGAAAAACCGAAGGAAGACCCAGAACAAAACACAGAACAACGAAGGGACACCGAGCCCCTCCCCCTTTGGACGCCCGAAATGGGTACGGAAAGAATGGGTACTATGCCCAACAACAAATGTTGCCCAAAACCAACAGCGGCCGCTGTTGGGCAGACGGCCTTCTGTCTCAAGCGGACACAGGTCGCGGCGGCGCGGACAGCGAGTCCCGTTCAAAGTGAACAGAAACTGCTGTTGGGCACCGTACCCACTCTTTCCGTACCCATTCCGTTCGTGCTGACCTTGGGAAGTCGCTCATCCTTCCTATCGGTGTCGACTGTAACTCGCTGACGGGCTCCCAGCGGCGGCGCATCACTGGTACCCATTCTCGCTCCCAAACGAGGGCGCTCTTGGGAACTCGGAGCCCAAACGCGGCCTCGGAGCACACTCTGTCCGAGAGGCCGGCGCGTACCCGTTCTTTCCGTACCCATCCCGTCCGTGCCGATCCCCAACGAGAAGGGCTCCTTCTTCAGCGGCCCGACTGCGAGGGAGGGCTCGGTGTGCCACCCGACGCCTTGCCAGGCGCCGATGCCCCCCAAGACCCCCAAGACGCACACGCCATCGCCCAATCCCAAGTCCTCCTCCAAGACGGCCCAACATGGCCTCCAGGATGGTCACGTTGGCCCAAGATGGCCTCCAAGATGGTCCAAGATGGCCTCCAAGTCCACCCAAGATGGTCCAAGACGGCCTCCGAGACGGCCCAAGAGGGTCCAAGATACCTCCAAGTTCGCCCAAGAAGCCTCCAAGACTGCCCAAGAGGCCTCCAAGAGGTTCTCCATGAGGGCCCGAAGAGACCAAAATCGTCCACTTTACGATGGTTTTGGAAGGATTTTAGTTTTTTGTCTTTTCGGCTTCCCGACGCTCCACGACAGCCCAGGAGGCCTCCAAGAGCGCCCCAAGACGGCCCAAGAGGCCTCCAGGAGCGCCCCAAGACGGCCCAAGACGGCCCCAAGACGGCCGCAAAAGGGCCCAGAGGCCTCCAAGCCCAAGATGGCCTCCAAGACGGCCCCGAGGCGCCCCCAGAGGGCCCCAAGTCGGTTCAGAGAGGCCCCCAAGACGGGCCGCGCCGCCCGGCGCGGACCCAAAGCGCGGAAGTCTCCCTACTTCTTTCTCCAAGACGGCTCAATACGGCCTCCAAGATGGCCACGTTAGCCCAAAATGGCCTCCAAGATTGTCAAAGATGGCCTCCAATATGCCTCCAGGCATCCTCCCCCTTCTCCTTTTTCCTCCTTCTCCTCCTCTTCCTCTTCCTCCCCCACGTTTCCCCCGAAGGTTTTCCAAACCGACTCGGGGAACACATGGTCCGATAGCTTGGCCAAGCTCTAGCCCAGCTGTCGGCCACATAGGCGCTTCCACAAGGGCAGGGAGCGGCGGTGATTCGCCGTAGGCGTGTTCGATCCGCCGCCCCGTGTCGATTCATCGCAGGGGTGCCTGGCGTGCTAGACTATCACGGTTTTGGTTTTGATTCTTTTTCCAAAAGAACTCCCCCTGGGGTTTCGGCCCGTCCCGCCGGCAAATTGCAAAGGGTTTTCCCGTTCCAGACGGCTCCAAGATGGCCTCCAAGATGCCTCCAAGACGGCCAAGATGCCCTCCGAGACGGCTAAGAAGGCCCCAAGATACCGCCAAGACGGTCCAAGAGGCACCCAAGACGGCCTATGATAGCCTCAAGATGGCCCAAGACGGCCCAAGAGGCCCTCAACAGGCCTCCAAGACGGCCCAAAAGGCCCCGAAGAGGTCATCCAGGAAGGCCCGAAGAGGCCAACATCGTTGATTTCCGTCGGGTTTTGGACAGATTTTTGCATTTGCGCCTTTTCGGCTTCCCGACGGCCCAAGACGGCCCACCAAGAGGGCCCGAAGACGAAGACGGCCCAAGAGGCCTCCAAGACGCCCACGATGGCCTCCAAGACGCCCAAAATGGCCTCCAAGACGGCCCCGAAGCGCCCCAAGAGGGCCCCAAGTCGGCCCTGAAAGGCCCCCAAGACGGCTCCCGACGGCGTCAGACGTGCCAGGAACCCACCAAGATGGCCGAAGTTGGCTCGAAGCTGGCCCAAGACGGCCCAAGAGGCCCCCAAGAGGGCCTCCAGGAAGGCCAGAAGAGGCCAAAAACACTGATGTTCCTAAAGTTGTTGACGGAATTTGACGTTTGCTTCTTTTCGGCCTTCCGACGGCCCGAGACGGCCCAAGAGCCTCCAAAGATCGCCGAAAGATCGCCCAAGAGGCCTCCAAGATGGCCCCAGAACGGCCCAAGAGGGCCCCAAGACGGCCCAAAGAGGCCCCCAAGACGGCACAGGATGCCTGAAGACGCCCAAGATGGCCTCTAAGACGGCCCTGGAGCATTCCAAGAGGGCCCCAAATCGGCCCATAGAGGCCCCCCAAACGGCTTCCGACGGCGTCAAACGGACCAGGAGCCCACCAAGACGGCCGAACATTGGCCGTAAGATGGCCCAAGACGGCCCAAGAGGCCGCCAAGAGGGCCTCCAGGAAGGCCCGAAAAGGCCAAAATCATTGATTTCCAATGGTTTTTGAAGGATTGTGGCATTTGCTTTTTTCTGCCTTCCGACGGCCCGAGACGGCCCAAGTGCCCCCAAAGATCGCCCAAGAGGCCCAAGACACGGCCCCAAGAGGCCCCCAAGACAGCCCAAGAGGTCTCCAATATACTCAAGATGGCCTCCAAGACGGCCCAAGAGCCCTCCAAGACGTCCTCCAAGAAGGCCCGAAAGGGTCAAAATGGCTTCCAGATGGCCACGATGACCTTCAAGATGCCCACGTGTTCCCCGAAGGCTTTCCAAACCGATTCGAGGAACACGTGGTCCGATAGCTTGGCAGGTCTGGCCTCAACGTTCGGCCACATATGCGCTTCCAAAAAGGCAGGGGGCGGCGGTGATTCGCCGTAGGCGTCTTCGATTCGCCGCCCCCTGTGGTTTGCCACAAGGGTGCACGTCATGCTAGATGTTTGGTGTTTTTGGTACTTTGAAAGTTTCCCCCCGGCCTCCGGCCCAGCCCGCCAGACACTCGAAGAGACCCGAAACCCCCAAAACCATCGCCCAAGACGGCCAAGATAGGCTCCAAGACGGTCCCAAGACGCCTCCAAGACGGCCCCAATAGAGGGCAAGAGGGTCCTAAGTTGCACTCAAGACGGCCCAAAATGGTCTCCGTATGGCCAAAGAGGCCTCAGAGAGATCCCGCAGGAAGTCCCGAGGAGGCCTCCAAAACGGCCCTGAAGCGCCCGCAGAAGGCCATAAGACTGCCCAAAGAGGCTCCCAAGACGGTTTCTGACGGGCTAAGACGCCTCAAGATGCCCCCGAGAAACCTCCAGGATCCTCTAATAGACCCGAGGTTCCCGAGAGGCCTCCAAGAGGTCCCCAAGACGCTTCCAGGAGGCCCAAGAGCACCCAAGATGCTCCCAAGAGGCAGAAACCTCCTCCTCCTCCTCCTCCTCCTCCTCCTCCTCCTCCTCCTCTTCCCCTTCCTCCTTGCTCTCCCGATGCTCTTCCTCATCTTCCCCCAAATGTTCCCCGAAGGTTTTCCAGTGCGGCTTGGGGAACACATTGCTTGTGCAAGCTTTGGCCACAACGTTCGGCCGCATCGGCGCTTCCAAAACGCAAGAAGCGGCGGTCATTCGCATTATGCGTCTTCGTTCCGCCGCCCGCGTTTTCCTTGCAGCTCATTCTTGGCGTGTGGAGGTTTAGTATATTCTGTCCTTCCACAAACTCCAAATGACCTCTGAGGGTTTGTACGTGGCCCAAGATGGCCCAAGACAGCTTCCAAGACTGCCACAGTGGCGGCCCACGATGGCCCTAAGATTGCTCAAGACGCCCCGAGAGCCGCCTTCAGGAGGCTCCGAAGGGGACAACTCTTGGATCTTCCATTCGTTCTTGAATGAGTGCAAATTCTCGCAGTTTTGGGCTCAACAGTGCACAAGACGGCCAGCAGACCCTAAGGATCGCCCGACGGCTGCCCAGGAGGATCCCAAGCCAGCCCGCCATGGCCTCGAAGTCGGCCAAGATGGCCCCATGTGGGCTCCAAGATGGTCCACTATGCCCGCCACGAAGGCCTGGATTGCTCAAGATGGGCCAACACATACCAAACCAGCACCAGATGGTCGAACGAGGCCCCCAGGAGACTCCAAGAGAACCCTGACGAGGCCTTCACCCCTTCCCCTTGCAGATCACTCCTCCCTGTCGCACCCCGAAGTCAGTCGAGAGGGAGGGCGGGCGTTTCGCCTGAGACCTCCTCACCGTTTATGCTCCTGGAGCTTAGAGTTCGCGAGGGATGGATGAAGGGCGGCCGGTTTTCAAAATGTGGCTCTCGCCTTAGCGCCGCGCACACTCGTTTAACATGGAATGGTGTGACGGATGGAAAGTTGCCCGTTTTCAGAATTTAGCTCTCGACTTAACGCCGCGCGCAACCGTCGCAAACATTTGCAAGAATTTGACGGATGGACGGCGGCCCGGTTTAAAAATGTGGTTCTCGCCTGAGCGTCGCGCACATCCACGGTAAAACCTGCAAGAGCTTCACGGATGGAGGGCGGTTCGTTTTCAACATGTGCCTCTCCCTTTAGCGCGCGCCGCGCACATTCGTCTGAAGAGCTTGCAACAGCTTCAAGAGTTCTCATGCATGACGTCCAAGAAATGGAGTTTTGGCACGATGTCGGACTGCCAGGGGGCAACATTCACGTTGATTCGCGGTCTTGAAGTCTCAGAAATGGCGTTCTGGCGCGATTCAGGATCGCCAAGATGCAATCGTGAAAATGACTCGCGGTGTTGATCTCCAAAGAATAATATAATATAATTCCAGATGTTCAAGCAATTGTCTTCCAACGGGGCACTTCATGAGTGTAGGGGCCTTTAGAGGGGGAGCTCGCAACGAGGGTTTAGTACAATATCGCTGATGAGTCTTGGGTTTGCACTGGTCCTACCTCCTCCTCCGCGTTCCTCTCCTCCTCCATCACCCCCTCCTCTCCTTCCTCCTCCCCCCAGGTGTCTTGTGCCCCCATATGGTTTCCACAACAGCTGGGGGAACACACAGTCCAAAAACTTTAGCGCTTCCACCAGGGCAGGAGGAGGCGGAGGCGGAGGCGGAGGCGGAGGAAGGGGAGGCGGCGGAGGAGGTGGAGAAGGCAACGATGATTCTCTGGAGACTCCTTGGATCCACCGCCCAAACAACCTGCCAGACGGGTGTTTGGCGTGCCATATTGTCCAACCCTTCCTGGCCCGCCCAGAGCGTTCCCAGCGCTCTCCAGCACAACCCGCCGGCACCCCAAATCGAGAAAACTCGTCTCCAAGATAGCATAGATGGCCTCGGGTGGTATCTCCCTCTCTCCCACACCACACATACACACCTGTGTATACATATATGTATGTATGTATGTATGTATGTATGTATGTATGTATGTATGTATGTATATATATATATATATATATATAAAAATGGTGTAAACAGAATGTCTCGAAGATGGCCACAAGGAGCCCCACGTTTGGCCACATCACCGGCGGTTCCAGAAAGGCAGGGGGCGGCGGTAATTCGCCGTCGGCGTCTTCGATGCGCCTCGCGAGGAAGTCGTAGGCGATAGTGCGCGAATCGACTCAAAATCCATCGACTGATCTACATCTATGGAAATTTTCACCTCCAGCGCGTCCTCCGAATTACCAAGATCCAACATCTTGATGCATCTCAGGCGGTCCTTCTTGGAGAAGCTGCCAGAAGAGAGGAACGCGCCCGCGCCAGGGTGTCTCCTTGACAGCGTATCGGCCACATTGTTGTTCAGCACCTCGGTCGGATCCGAGGCGTCGTCATCCACCGACGCCAACGAGGTCAGACTTCCGCCGCGCCGGAGCTGACTCGGCCGCGTGGACCCCCCCGCGCTACCCGTCTCGTCTCCCGCAACGTCCTGGATGCGCTCGTCGCGACTCGGCGCGGGAACGAGGCCAGGGAGCTCAGGCTCAGAAGGCGTAGAGGCCTCCTCGTCCTTTTCATCCATGCACAGCGCGCTACGAGAGCACCGCCGACCGATGATCCTCGGAACGTGTGCGCCGCAGACGTGTGAGGAGGAGGCGGAGGAGGGCGGAGGAGGAAGATGATGGTGATGATGGTGATGATGATGATGCTGATGATGATGATGGTGATGATGATGACGCCATTTTTTGTCTGCAAGCTTCGCAGACGGATACGATAGGGGCACAATCACAAATCTGAAGAATGCCTGGCTGAACCGTCGGTTGTCACGACCGGTCACATCCGAGGAAGTGGAGGAGGAGGAGGAGGAGCAGGAGGAGGAGGAGGAGGAGAGGAGGAAACGTGTGGGAGGAGGAGGCGGACGAGGAGAAATGTGGGAGGAGGAGGAGGAGGAGAAGGAGGAGGAGGAGGAGGAGGAGGAGGTGGAGGAGAGGAGGAGGAGGAGGAGGAGGAGGAGGAGGACGAGGAGAAGTGTGGAGGAGGAGGAGGAGGAGGGAGGAGGAGGAGGAGGAGGAGGAGAGGAGGAGGAGGAGGAGGAGGAGGAGGAGGAGGAGGAGGAGGAGAGGGGAGGAGAGGAGAGGAGTGAGGAGGGAGGAGGAGGAGAGGAGGAGGAGGAGGAGGAGGAGGAGGTGGAGGAGGAGGAGGAGGAGGAAGAGGACCAGGGAGATGCCAGTGGCAAGAAGAGCAGTGCGCGGCTCGGCCGAAGTGGGCCTGCCCCGCATAGCTCGGGCTGCGGGCCTCTCCCGCGGCGGCCGGAAACTCCCTGGGAGGCGGAGCGCGGGCAGAGGCTCCCGAGCGCAGTCGCCCGCTGCCCACCACTCCTCCTCGTCGTCGTCGTCGGGTCCCACTTCTCGTCGTCGTCGTCGTGTCCTCCTCCTCGTCGTCGTCGTCCTCGTGTCCCGTCGTCGTCGTCGTGTCCCACTCCTCTCTCCCAAGGGTTCCCAACTTCGCGCTCTCGCGCTGAGCGAAGCGCGAAGTGGGAATAGCTTCGCGTTCTCGCGCCGCCTCCCAGGGGAGAGGAGGAGGAGGAGAAATCGGAGCCGGACCGCGAAGCGCGAATATTTTCGCGCCCTCGAGGGCCCCCTTGCCTCCCGTCGCCCCACGCTCATGGGAGAAGGCCTTCCCGAGACGCTCGTCAGAGCAAAAACAGTCAAAATGTAGCAGCGTCCCTGCTCCCGCACTCTGGAAGCGACACCACCAGGGTCGTGCCATGAGGCAGAAGTTGCGAGCCACTTGTCTCGGCCTACGTCGATCGGATTCCCATGCGGGCGGGCGCCTCACTCGGAAGGAAAATCACCACTGTGCGACACGCTGTATGGAAAGTGTACTCTGGACACCCCCGTGCCGTTCGAGCACTCGTGCGTGAGCGGCGGAAAGAATAGGAGCCGTGAAACAACTCTTGCGATCGTGCACCTGTGGGCGAGGTCGTTATCACTGTGGAAGGGTTCGACCGCGTCGCCAACCCTGAAGCATTCTGGGCTTGTCACCTGAAGGTGAATGGCACCTTCTTCAGCATCCTGCTGGAGGAAGAACAAGGATGTCATGCCACTTGCAGCGTCCTGGCCTTCTGCGGGTTGGGAGCCGCCTGTGCTCGCGCTCGGATCGACCGAGGTCGACGCGGCCGGCTGCGGTCGACGCGGCCGTCGTCGCGGCGCCCGTACTGCCTGCGGCGCTCGAGCCGCCTGCGCTCGGGGAGCGCCTCTTCGATGATCCCGCTTCCTCCGCCTGGTAGGTCACGTCCCAGCAGGCGAAGTCTGGGCTCTTATCCTCCTCGCAGACACCGCACAGCAACTGGCACGCCTGCCCCCCGTCGACGGCCTTGTCGTTCTTGGCGGCCACGCGCCCTGGGGCCTTCAGCAGAACACCGACGCAATCGGGGTCCTTCTCGCAATTGTTGTGGCACGCGTGATAGCTTAACTCGTGACTGACCCATCCCTACTGATATCCTCAAAGTTCAAACGCCCCGCGCCCCGGGTGATGAGCGAACCGAAATGGTTTGACTGCACTTCGTCCGATTGCAAACTGTACGCGTTCCAGCAGCCGTTCGGCCCCTCGATGCACTGCCCGTTCATGAAGCAACATGCCCCGACGCCGGACGACTCTTCCGGCGATGTCCGTCACACTTATCGATCTGGAAGTTCGCGGCGAAACATCCCCGAGTTGTTTCGCGGCACAGCTCCAAGCACGAATCTGCATCTGACTGGAACTCTACCTCCAGAGAGGACGAGTGACAGTTGATGCAGCCTGTCTTCTCGGCAGTAATGGAATTACCCACGCCGCTGCCAGCGGTGGAATTGCCAACGCCGTTGCCTGCGGTGGAATGAAAAGCCGCTGCCTGCGGCCATCGAGGTGGCCCTGTCTGTGGTCGGGACGCCCAGCCTCCGCCAGAGAAGACCTGCGCACGAGCGTGATTGCGACCGGGGCCATGCACAAGATACCTGCCGTACAAGCCACACTCTTTTACCAGCAGAGAGGAGGAGGAGGAGGAGGAGGAGGAGGAGGAGGAGGAGGAGGAGGAGGAGGAGGAGGGGAGGAGGAAGAGGAGGAGGAGGAGGAGGAAACGACACGACACGACGACGAACGACGGACGACAGGCGAACGACAAAGGCGCGAAGGGCGGGGAGGGAAGAGGGGGAGGGGGAAGCGGGCCCACGGGGGGCGCCCGCGCCCGGCGCAGCCCCGCCCAGGCCCGGCAGCCCTCGGCCGCGGCGACGTGCCGCCCGCCTAGCGCCGTGCAGGCCACACTCTCGGGCGCTCCTTGGCACCCACGGGGCGGCGCTGCGCGGCCCACGGGCAGCCCCGGCCAGCCCCCGCGGGCCTCATGGGGTCTGCGTCGCCCTCCGCGGGCGGTCTCGTCCAGGAGCCTCCTCCGACGGCCGCGGCGACTCACCGAGGCGCTCGAACATGGCCGCCCTCCTCCTCCTTCTCCTCCTCCTCCTCCTCCTCCTCCTTCACCTCCCCTTCTCCTCCTCCTCCTCCTCCTCCTCCTCTTCCTGGCGGCTCCCGCGGGCGCCAGAGTTGGGGCGGTGGCTGGCCGTGACAGCTGTGGGCACACACGCGCTTGAGCCACAATGGCTCGAGCCAAAATGGCTACGGATGATGATGATGATGATGATGATGATGATGATGATGATGATGATGATGATGATGATGATGATGATGATGATGATGATGATGATGATGATGATGATGATGATGATGATGATGATGATGCTGATGCTGATGCTGATGCTGATGCTGATGCTGATGCTGATGCTGATGATGATGCTGATGATGATGATGATGATGATGCTGATGCTGATGCTGATGCTGCTGCTGCTGCTGATGATGATGATGATGATGATGATGATGATGATGATGATGTGATGATGATGATGCTGATGCTGATGCTGAGGAGGAGGAGGGGGGAGGGAGGGAGGGAGGAGGAGGAGGAGGAAGGAGGAGGAGGAGGAGGGTGGGGATGGGGATGGGGATGGGGATGAGGAGGAGGAGGAGGAGGAGGAGGAGGAGGAGGAGGAGGAGCGCTTGTCCACTGAAGCCCTCCCGAACAACGCGGGCGGGGCGAGGGGCCGATACACAGGCTGCGCGCCTTCGGTGGAACGGAGCGGGGAGAGGACACATTTAAAAAGGCCCTGGGACACACAAATGAATAGACACACATCCCAGGATTCCGTAGATTCTCGTTTCCTCCCCCCTCTTCCCATATTTTCCCATATTTTCCGGGGAGTTGACGATGAATTGTGTCTGTGCTTTTTCCCCTCCTGAACATTGGGCTTTCACACGTTTGGTGCCACTTCCATGGAGGTCCATGGAAACCTCGCGGCCCCCGGCGATGTCCGATTTGGGCCTGGTTTGGACAGGACCTGGCACACTTCGAGAAACGCGAGGAACACATGTGTGGAACCCGATTCGCCGCTTCACAGGGGAGACGAGACGAGCGAGGGAGGGGGAGGAGGCACAGTAGAAGCGAGGAGGGGCAGGAGGAGGGGCCAAATGCGGTGCAGATGCAGGGGAAGCTGACTCCAATGTCGCCGCCCGAGGCTCCAAGGGGCGGACATCGAACACACGTCCTGAGGACCATCGAACCGAGGCGAAGCCGAGCGCCGACAGCAGGCGCGCTGGCCGGGCCGCCGGCCAGCGGGTGCGCGGCGCCCGCAGTCGCGGGCCTCCCTGGGGACTCCCCACCGCACTTTCTCGAGCCAGAGGTTAGTAGGGTCATTGAGGACGTGCGCGGCCAGCCACCTACATGAGTATGGTTTCCCTGTTTGCGAGATCAGCCGCGTGGTTCGAACGCTTGCGCAATGCGCACTTCCGAAACCAGCGCAGGTCCGTGTACGTGTGCGTCATTATTTCGCTCCTGAGTTGGGGACCCCGAGTTGCTCACGCGCGCCCAGCCCCAATCGTGGGATGTCTTGTTGTTCTCAATGCGGCCTCCGTGGACGTCCCGACTCTTTCCCTGGGACCGTTTTCTTCGCGCAGAGTTGTTTTCGACGGTCCCGGGGCCCAATGAGGGCCTGAAGAGACCGACAAGGACGAACAAACCTCTGCTTGGCTTTTTCAAAACATTGTGATGTATTGGGCGGCTCGGCTCACGCGCGCCCACAAGAGACCTGCTTCCGTAAGACAACGCGAGCACAGCATGAGCATCCACTGCCGGAAGTCTGCGCAGGGCTCCTGAACCAGAGCTGGACCGCACCAGGGGCCTGAGCTGGAGGTGCCGCCACAGGGGTTCCAGCGCCGATCCGCCACACCCGCGCGGAAACTCGAAGAGGCCATACACCCCGCAGTTGCGACAGGGGTGGGAAGGGAGCCAGGGCTGCCCGCCAGGGCTGCCCGCTGGGGCAGAGTGAACACTGGCAGACGCACAGCCAGGACCACTTT